TCCATTTTGTTGAACCAACAAATAGCCAGTATCACATAAAACACACCCTTCTCTTCACACATTTTAAACACCCATTTGAACACTTAAAACACCTAGTTTTTGTAAAAATGATACGAATCAGGACACGATTCACAAACCTTTGTTGTGACATTTGTTTGTGTTGTTGATAATCCGCAATTATTATCATAATTTTTGCATTGATTATCAAGTAAATACGAATTTTTATAGTATTTGCATGATATATCTGTTTTGTCAATATACAAAGCAGTGCAGTTTTGCTTATCATTAAACACAACATCATTCATTTGCGTTGTAATGTTATTAGTATTTTTAAACCCATATTCTTCCCCAACAAGAAGTTTAATATTTTTGTTGGAGACTGATATGTTATTGTTATTAATTGATTCATTTGAAATATAAATGACATTTGCAGTGTTTGAATCTTTAAAATTTGTATTATATTCATTGATCTTTTTGAATTTAAGTGTTTTAACATTTTGATTGAAAGTACCATTAAATCCAATGTTTAGAATCACTTCATTTGTTTCTATATAAATAGTTGTATTTTCATTTAAAATTGGACAATGCAGTGCATTTCTGTATGAACTGAATATGCCCATATCTTTCTGTTCTAAAATGCAGCCAATATCGTAATTAAGCTTAAGTGGACAAATTCGTAGTATTTTTCTTCCTAAATACAATTTCATTGTTGACATCAAATAATCTCTATCTCTTTCTTTTTCAAAAGAAATAAATTCGAAGCATTCGATTTGGTTTTCATTTGTTATTAGAGATGCTTCAGTATTGGTAAATTATTGAATCTGTCCATTTTCGCCATATATCTCTATAATACCAGTCTGATTGCCATTGCTAAAAATATCATCAAAATAGATATTAGAAAGTCTCAAACACCCATCATTATTTACAACAATTTTGGCGTTTTGATACAAGTGGACATTTTCAATATAAAATCCACCACTCACAATTACTTTTGAATTTATATCACAGTATGTTGTTGATATAAATTTTTGATTTGATGTTAAAAGTGTCACGTTGTCTATATAAAATATAATTTTCTCCCAAGTTTGTGACATTAACGTGTAATTGTTGTTATTAATACTGAGTATGAGTGAAGGTGTGCATTTGTCATTTACACAATCAAGGGGCGCTACACCTTTAAGTGGAGATGGATATAAGTAATAGTTGTATACATACATACACATACAGATTGTCTCTGTGTGATTTTTCATCACTGCACGATGACCACAGACAGTCAATGTATTAGTGTTGTCATTTAACAATCCCTGAATTTTGAAAAGCATTGAGTCTGAGTAATTTTTGTTGTTCATAATGATGTTATTGATTGTCAAAGAATGTTTAAATATATAATTTGCAGTTGATGTGATTACTAAATTATTTACTATGCAGTTAACTTCAAATATTAAACTTTTGTTCTGTTGAAGCTCCAGTTTTTCAAAATATATTTCATTTAATGAAGACTTAAATATGTACTTCTGGTAATTAGATACAAGAGGGGTATACCACTTGTTTATTAATAAATTAACTTCAGTGTTATTATTATTATCTTTCGTTAGTTTTGTTAAGTCCAAGTCAAAGTATGATGAGTTAAATCGACAATCACTGATATTGAAAGTGGTGTTATCATCTTTAATGTAATTTGAATTAGGAACACAACCACACAAAGTACTTTCATTGATTAAATTTTCATCATAACTTGTTGATATCATAAAGAACCTTTTAAGTGCA